TTCGTCAGCAGGTGAATATAAGCCGACCAATACAAGCCATTCCCTACCTACTACCTATGTACTTGCGCAGTACTGCTTGTAGTAGGTAGGTATTTGCGATATGTCTCCACACAATGTTTTCAGAGCCATGATGGTGGCATTGCGATAACAAGCCCCAGGGATATCCATGCCGATGACGATGCTAGCGTTGCCTAGACCGAGGACATGTTCAGGAATCTAGCCCATATAGTCAATCGGGGTGCATAAGCGATTTCTATAGACTCTGAGCAGCTTGTCCGCTAGCCTTCAGATGGGCCAACAAACGAGGGAATGTTCCTGTCTAGATTTTCATCATATAGTACTTGTTTGCGTAGCCGCCACCAAAGCCATTTCCACGTTTGACGCTGAAAGTAAGTTCGCGGGTGTGGATATCAGGCTCAGAACTTCATATAGGCCTCTTCGCCTCGGAGTCTGTACACCGTCCGTCCCTAGCTCTGCTCGTCGTGTAAGGGATAGCATGTAATAAGGGATAGCATCGTCGGCCCAACAGCTCCCTAACATGTCTCGCCTTCCCTCAATGAGTAGTAGTAGCGGTAGCGGCAGTGCTTGTCACATCACCAGATCCAAACGAAAAGAAGCAAAAGAAAAGAAAGGTATGAGTACTTGACGGCCCCATCCCCGTAGTACCACACCATCGCTGCGTTAGTACCGCGTTAGGGTTATTCTATATTTAGGTACACCACCGAAGGTTTTGTCGAAGCTCGCCGCTCGGCCACTCATACGCCGCAGCAGCAACAGAACGTGCAGGACGAGGAGAGAGGCGGAGGCAAGGGAGGATGGTCCAATTTGCTCGCCTGGAGAGGCCTTTCGTCATTCTATACAAGCGCATCGGGATTAAGAGTGGATGCTTCTTCCCCGCCTGAAGCTCCCGCAATACCAGGTTAGTATTTTGAGCTTTGCCATTTAGTAGGTACTACTTTTGTTCACGGCCCCTCGTCGCCCTTCTCTGTGGGTATGGCGATGATTAGCTGAGATTCCGCCAGGGGACGAAGAGCGGGCTGAGCTGCCTGCCCATTCTGGCCGCTTTGTCAACCAAACTTTGTGCCGATCACAGACGATCCTCAGGCTCGCCCGCCAGGAACAGACAACTCAGCCTGTCTTGCAGAGTGTAGTTCGCATTAATTCCACGGCAGGGCCACAGGGGCGGCAGGCGGCTCGTTCGGGGCTCTGTGCAGCATGTCAGACTATCGCTCCATCCGTGCTAGGCCACCCGGAGGCTTCAAAATGAACATGCTGAGGCTGTGGTCATACACAGTGTCTCTTGTGATGAGGGTTTGCTGCAACAACCGGGCCACACGACAGCGCCAGACATGAGCTATCGGACCGTCTGCAGCTGTGATCACCGGTTGCTTTGTGCCATTTGAGGGGTCCAGCTTCTCAGAAGTTCTCCCCCACCCCCCAGATTCCATTAGTGGTGTGTTGAAAGGGTGCGTGGGCGGACTTCCGTCATCTTGTAGGCGCATGCATGTCGGAGGAGCTGCATGCCTATGAAAAAGAGCAGCGATCGATTTTGTTGGCCACCAGTTACACACCCGCACCAGCCCTCCAGGCTCGTTGACTTTCGTAGAGGCAATGGCGCTATTGGTACTGCTATCCAGTAGTGATAATGGCAGTGGTGATGCCACCAGCAGTCAATAAGGCAAGAAGCATGGGAAAAGAGGATGCTGACGCGCTGACATTCCACGCTTGGGCGTCGCATCACACAGATCACTGTGCATGCGCATGTAGACCACCATGCACTCGATTCTTCAAGTCTGCAGGGTAGGATGAGAGGATGAGCCAACCAGCATCGGCAACCAGTAAGTGGTACACGGCCTCCTAGAAACCAAACTATCGAAAAACGTTGTGCGAGTATAGTTTTGCCGTCCCTTGTGGCTTGCGTGAGCTTCCTTTCTCACCGCTTCATGTGGTGCACCGTCGCCAAGCGAGCTGAGGCACCTCTTGATCTCTTGGTAGGATACCCCAAAATGGATCCAATACGTGTTGTCCCGCCAGTCGTGAGATAATGACCGCATCGCCCAAGCAATATAATGGGGGAGGGGAGACGGGATCTAGCTACGGCGGTCCAGAATCCCATGCCCTCGGCTATCGCCCAAGTACGTAATTACCCATCCTTGTCTTGTCATAGGGTACAGTACCACTGTCAGGCGGCAGCAGAACCTCAAATCTCAGCGTCGATTGTTCCTTTCTCTGAAAACGTTGTCGACTTCTTTTCGAGTACATGATATCCTTCTCGTGGGGGAAGAGACACGTAGGACAGCCGGAGCACAGGCGTACGTGCATTTCATGTGCGCTCTGCAGTCGTCGTAGCACTCTTGGTCGCTCCGGAGATCAATAACCTTGCTTGGGGAAAACTAGAAATGTCGCAAGGTCAGATCGACCATAAAGCGTAGAATTCAAGTACCGGTACCTGACTGCGTAGACGGCGAGTGGCGGACTCAAACTCGAAGGCATCTATCCCTAAGGTATCTATGCCCTCGATCCACACGGGTCATCATACTACTTGTAGGTGCTAGGCATAGAGATCTCTAGCGCACAGTAGCATCTGCATCAAGTCGCTGGTCCAGATGCGTCCGGATATCGGCTTAAGGAAGCAGCGAGAGTTTGTGACGCTGCAGCCATTTCTCCATCGTACCGATTTGTAAGTGGGCAGGCCAGGCATATGCAGAATGATATCTTTAGCAACAAGGCGACGGACACTCGCTCATTGGACACCACTTTGCCCGTTAGTGCACACGTGTCGCTGTAAAGGATGCCGAGATCGAGGCCAAATGCAAGTAGGTCTCGGTGGCGAGCTATGAAACGTTGCAGTGCTCCTCTTTTCTTTTGACTTTGAGCTACGGAGTAATACTGTCAGCCTTATTTTTGTGTTTCTTTCTTCTTTTCTTAGTGAATCTTTTTTTTTTCTTTTGTGTTATTGTTTTTTCTCCAGCTGTTATGTGTGCGATTGTGGCTTTGCCCTCGTTTGTCAGCTTTCTTTCGGCCCGCTTGTCTTGGCGACAGGAACATTGGAAGCTTTTGCTAGCCTCAGTTAGCAATCCTTCAGATTCTCAAAGTGAAGCGTGTGTTGCTGTTCCGCACTTACGGAATTTTACCTGTGCGACGATGCTACACTCAGCGAAAGACGAGAGATCAGCGCATAAGCTTCATTGAGTACCAAAAACCGACGTCATTTGAGACGCTCACAAGCCTCGGCATTGTAGAGCCTCGGCGCTTTCTGAGGTCTCAGTGGTCCTCTTTTTTCTAAAGGAGGTGGCCTGTCTCTAGTAGCGGTGTTTTCTTATGGCAGCATAAACCAGATTCAACCGCCTTCAACTAATAGCAGGATGTGTGCAAGAGTATTGGGCAGTGTGTTCTGTTGTGGCGTTTCATGCAGAGTGAAATAAGGCTGTGTAAGTCGCAGCAAGAACGGATGCACCACGGGCTTTTCCCCCTTTGTCACATCGCATAATGCCCCTTCTAGGCAGTGGTTAATTATGTCACCCAGCAGTTCGGGATTGTTTCCTATACCGCATAACACTTCGAGTGCTTGTACAACCTTGTCATGACGCACCTTCATACTCAAAGTGCATGCAAAGGTACCAGCTAGCCAGCCGTACCCTGTAGCCAAGTTCAATTTGCACTGCCTGACTGCTGTCTGACTCGTCGTATCGCCATCTCATCGGGCCTCATCTTCGATTTAGGACTAGACGGCGCAGTTCTCTGTCGATAATTCTCTTGTGAAGGGTGTAAGTCCGGAGTAGCATTTCGAGTGGAGATGACATTATGTGGGCCACCATGTGCTCCATATTGCAACCGCCAATGCCGTTGCTGTGCTTTGCATGAGCAAGCTCCCACTTGGAAGACAACCCAGCAGCAAACCAGCATTTGCTGCAAGAGCAGTATCGGGCCAAGCTCTATGCCTCACACGCCATGAAGCCAATCAAAGCGACAAATGCCTATAGCTGCGATTTTGTTCCTAAAAAAAGAAATCGGCTGATGCAGCTTCATGATTGGCCATTTCACCTAACCTGCAGAACTTGTCGATGAAGACAGTTCAGTGTTTGTACTTTGTAAATGCTCCACGATACGGCCGTTGATAGGTAGAGTAAAATTTGCTCGGATAACAGTTAAAATCTCACACTATAGTGCAGCGGCAGCAACACCAGTACTATTATTGAGAGGCTGCAGCTGCGATGATCCCTATTCATGGACGTAGCTATAGCCCGATAGGGTAGCAGCTTTCGAGCCTCCCCGAGTTGTCGTCGAGTCTTGCAGCACGGCCTTCAGCGTTCTGAGCAAATGCGTGGCTTGTGAGGACCCCGAGTCGGCCAGCCTAAAAAGGGGTGGCCGCAATTCTTAGCGTAGAAAGCGGATTGATGGAGCCCTAGAGGGCCATTTCGGGACACGAGGTTTGAGAATCTCCTTCGCAGCCCATGATAATCTCGCTATGAATTAGATCTATACCTGTTCCTGAGAATGGTGGCACCCTGGACTCTGCTCGGGGGGTTGAGCGGGCCCGTGAAGTGTGTTTCCGGGCCTAGAGGAGGCTTGGATCGCATAGTATTGAGCCTGAATGTAAATCGTCGTTTCGAAGCTGCCACCATGTGATTGGAAATCTTCTGGTAAGCCGCCATAGTAATAGGCAGTGCGGAGAGAAAATTTACCAGAAACGGAGGTAATGGTGATAATAATAGCAGTATTAAAGCTATCAGCAACATGTTTAATTGACGTTATTCTGAGTATGTTGTCTTTGTTGGCACTCCTACATTGCTTGGGACACTCACTCTGTTTGACAAGCTAAACCAAAATTATTCCTGTGTCTCTTGTCACCACAAGACGAGACTGTACTTGGCTTGTTGAAACAAACGAGACAATAGACGCCGTTAAGAGAGAGGTCGCTTCACAATGCTGCTTTGTAGACGAGTCACCGTTTATATCACGTGCCCTTTTCAGTGATAACTCTGTCCGCCTGGGTTGCTTCATGAGTAAGCAAGGCCAACAGGAAAATCCGTCGGAAGGCTGAGAAATGTATCGATAACCGCCTGTCTTCGGTGTCTGGACGTAGACTGACCATACGGGTTAGTGGATCTACGCTGTAGTGATTGGCGGCAATTGCCCCTCCATACTGAAAATGTTTCCAATGTTAAATTCCGCTTTGGAATGGGAAAACGCCAAGCCAAAGAAGGCACTGGGTATAATTGCCGTTGCTATAATTGCCGTTGGCTGCCTCCGTCTTGAACCCTTTCCCCCGAGCCTTTGACGTGATCTTTGCTTGACGGGGACAGCGGACGAAGACCCGAGCTTTGCAATCCTGG